GGGTAGCTTCTTCTGGGAAGGCTGTTGAATAATATAATATAATTCAGGAACAAAAGTGGTCAAAATTGGTGGCTGGAGTGTGACAACACAAAGCTGCTGGAGACTTTTAGAGGGAAAGAAAAGGAGTCTATTTTTCTTTTGTTTTATCGGGAATCTGGAATTGGGTTGGTGAGAAAATTCTATATGATTGTAACAATTTTTCATATAATGAAAAAGTTTTGACGGTCCATTTAAATTTGTGCGTTATATTCTTTATTTTTCTTGTTTGCTAATATTATTCTGAACAACAAAAGATCCTGCGGGTTAAGTAGAAAAGGGAAATTGGTGTGAAATTTCCCAACATAAAGGTCTGACAGGGCTCTATATAATTATAACTCTAATTTTTTTTTAATTAGACTATTTGAATGGAACTTGTTAGAGAACCGGATGTGCAGATTTGGATTCATATAGATATCCACTAATGTGGTACTTTATTGTACGACAAATATAAGATCCATCTGTCAACGAAAAATAAAACGAAAATTTTGGAAGATGCATAACGTCTGTTTGGTCTTTGCACGTGAAGTAAGAAATATTTTCCTTTTTTAGGTCTTTGGTGGCGGCCACTCTTGGTACTGATAGACCACATACTTGCCCTACCCATGTAAGGACCGTAGATCTCATATTCTCATTTAAGTAAAGCATGCTCAACCTCAACTTCGACCCATAGGCAGATGCAATTTCATTCCTTTCAAATAAAGTACAAATATTTTGTCTAATATTATCATGGTTTACCAGTGATACAACGAACGGTACAGGACAAGTCCCTCCTTTTCATAGTAGATATTCATATTCCAAAGAAAAGATTCTGAAAGAAAGAAAACAAAGAAATAAATAAAGACGTCTACGNAGACCCTCCTTTCATATTCAAAAAAAAAAGATTCTAACAAGAAAGAAATAAATAAAGACGTCTACGAGGATCTTTTCGGCATTGACCAATCAACAAGCTTGTGAAGTTATCCTTTGTTTTATTTTGTTCTACTGTTTTCTCTCCTCTTTGATAGTCCTTCTACTTTACCATACAGATAAATATAACACCGCAAACTGGGCTTGGAGAAAAGAAAGGTGAAATTTTCTGTAGCATCGAATTGTTTCTACTTCAAAGGAAAGTCGACTAAAGTTCTAAATGAATACATGAATAAAAACTTAGATATATGCGTATATCAAACGTTATAATCGAACAGAATCTACCATTTAACAGAAAATTGATAAGGCAAAGTGTAAAGCAGTTGAACAAGCAAAACCATTCTAATTAAACAAGTACAAGAGTTCTGAATTTTATATTTCAATCACCAATGTGCTGCGATAATTCATGAAACTAAGTGAGTGTTTGGCACCCATTTTAATAAGAATAGAAATTTGAGAATAGTGATTGATGAGAGAATGTGTGGTGAAAAAGTGATGAAAAGTTTTAGATTTGTGTGTAACATTATTTTATTTGAAGAATGTGTGGTTGAAATGAAGAGAGAGAAAAAAAAAATTAAAGAGAATGGGTGCCAAACATGGGCTAAGTTATACAAACCAATGTTATGAGAATTGGCACGGAACAGCCAGTTCGACCTATAAAACAAGGTTGGTTAGCCTCTAAAAACCGGCTGCAAAACCTCAGAACCAACCAGTTCAAGCAGTCCGGAAAATCAGTGGCAGTTTTCCCAGTTTGCATGGCCAATTTTTCAAAGGAAATAAAAAAGGAAAACTCAACAATGGATTTCTATCATGAATCCCACACCCGCACAGCAGTTTCCCGTGCATGCTGCTTCATTCATTGATCATGAACCATGCCCCTTTTATAACATTTCCATCTCTCATCCCAATCATGAACCTTCAAATGCCATGCGCTTGATATTAAGCCCTTGTTTGATCTTCATTTTCTCCAAAATATATTTTTCTCTCTCTACTTTTCAATGACACATTATTCAATAAATAATATTACACGCAAACCCGAAACTTTTCCTTATTTTTTAACGACATATTCTCCATTAATTTATTATTCCAAAATACGTTCTACACCAAAAATGGGCTCAAACAGGCCCTAAATTTTCGTTTCTCATTGTTACCATTTCGTGGTTTCTTACATATTGATACTTAGGGGTTGTTTGAGCCCCATTTTTTCGAAAATTCATTTTCAACCACACATTCTCCAATAAAATAATATTGCACGTAAGTCAAAAACTTTTTCTTAATTTTTAACCACACATTCTCCAAAACTCACTATTCAAAAATGTATTTTTTCTCTAAAAATGGGGCTCAATCAAGGGCTTAATGTTAATGCTTTTTCACATTGGGAAAGTGGGCTGTTCTGGTTTTTATTAACTAGCGTGGCTTTCAATTAGTAGTATTACCTAATACTTGTCTAATATTCAATTTATTTTATTTTGTTGTGTTTCAACAACCAGTTTGACCCTTGACCCTTTAGCTTTTTCCCAGTTGAAGCCCGGTTCCAGTTTTTAAAACATTGATATAAACATTCCAAAGAAGATGATGATGACAACAACAACAACGAAGACAATGATGAAGGAGAAGAAATTTATTGAATAATGAATTCAGTGAGACCAGAATCAACCTGAGGAAGATCACCATGTTCAGAGAAAGAACCTTTCCCAGACAAAAGCAAGTCTATCTGGCTCGTTGTTGGTGTCATCAATGGTGACCTAGGAGTCATGCTTCCTGCCGATGATGTTGTCATTCCTTGGTCCGATTTTGGACCAAAGCGAGTTTTACATAGCATGGAAGGCAAACCCTTGAGCTCGTCCATGAATACAGAATTGTCTGTTTCTGGAAAACATTCTATCGTGTCTTCTGAGCCTCTACGAGACCAATCACTGAGTTTTGGAGAAAGAAGATCTGATTCTTCTGTCACACTCGAGTTTGATACTTTGACAACATCTGGGCTTCCAACAGCATGTTGGTAGTCCTTCTGTGAAAATGAATCCATCCGCTTCTCAAGAGTTCCAGCAATTCTAAGTAGGCGTTCATTGACACTTAAACCCTTTTTATCACATCGATCAGCAATTGCACAAATTCTAGAGTGGTCTTCCACATGCAAAGTGGGAACCTCCTCCTCACAAATGCGACAAGTTATTGAGCTTTCATCTGCAATGCCTGGCTGATCTCCCCAGTAGCCCCAGGAAACTTTATGTTGGTGCTTGGAGGGCATGGAAAACTGTCCGATAGAATCTTTAGCAGGACGAAGCTCAGTAACTTTAGCATTAGCAGTAGCCAGATCAGCTTCATTAATTCCTCTCCTGTTGTTTAATATTTTCGAAGCTTCCACGATTTTGTCATTCTGCTCCTTCAATGAAGCAGCTTCTTTGGGACTTTTTCCAGGAGGAGAAGAAAATTGCTTCCAAGAAGCCATCTGATTCCTACTAGTAGTAGAATCTAAGTCGTTTGCAGTGTCAGCTGGTGAAGGTTGAAAATTTCCTTTTACAGCATAGTCGCTTTTCCACACTAAGCCATGTTGTTCTTGACTGTAATATTTTCTTGCAGACAGTGCCTTCGTGGCTTTTGAAGAACTAGGAATATTCTTATCCCTTTCCACAACCTGAGAAACATGTTTATCTGCAGGCTCAAGTGATTGCCGGAGCTGAAAAACACGGTCATCCTCAGCGAACGCACTTTCCTTGTGGAACTGCAACAATCTTGTGCACCTTGTGAGAATGAAAAGCATTCGAGTATGAAGCCGCTTAAGCATTCCCATAGGAAGCTCCTGACGCCTATCATCCAAATCTTGAACTATGCCTTCACACTGAAGCCAAAATTCTCCAGGAGATGTCATGGCACAGCTCCGAGCCAAAACCAACAAATCCTCTAAAGTTTCCTGCCATTCTGGATGAGTTTCTACATTCTTTTCAAGAATTCCAACCAGATCTGCTGCAAAAATATGCAGATCAGAATCCACTTCTTCCTTTGCTTTGTCAAATTTTGTCCTTATCATACTTAATACCTCCTGTTGCACTTGCAACATAATAATGAATATTCAAAAATCATTAAATCTGTCAACTTAGGTTTAAGGATACATAAATCTAATTACCTCCAGATTATTTAAGCGTCGAGGCTTCCAAAATGGGTAAGGTCGTACACCTTTGGAATTCAATTCATGAGAGAAACTTTTGATATCACCAGGAAGCCTCTTCCTGGGAGCACTTGTAACACGGAGTATAGCTTGAAATCGGGGAGATTCAGACTCCTTTGGGTTCTCACAATCATATGATGTCTACGAAGTAAATTAAATTTCAGCTCGTTTATATTTAGTAGAATTGCAAATTGATAAATAAATAGCATCAGAAATATTTCTGAGGTGATATGCTTTGTTGACTTCAGAAAAATTGACCTTTTTACCTTTATCTCTGGAGTGCATACATCTGAACTCCTTAACCCTCCAGAATGACCCCATGATGAATTGAATTGACCTTGCAAAACAATATTAGCCAGTAGAAAATAAGAAAGACCACATCCATGATAGAGGATTTTAACAGGAAACCCTAGCATGAATTTAATTAGACATTAACAATTCTACATAAAGCTAAGTTTCACATGAGACTAAGGAATCATTTTTGTAATATACATGCCATAACATATACTCAATACCAGCTTGAGCGTGCCCACCAGGAACAAATACAATATTAATTATAAATAAATCCAGGTTTCTTCTCTTCTACAAAAAAAATTTTTACCATATTTTTCACTGTCTACCATAAATTCTCTACCTTTCACCAGTTACAATTTTTTGCACATTCACTTCTTGTCAAATCACAAGCCTTTTTCTCTTTCTTTCTTTCTTTCACCTTGTACTTCCTGTCCATTTTTCCAACTCTTTTTTGGCCTTTCACCGCCAATTATTGTTATTTCTTGGCCCTCTGATTTTTCATGCTATTCAGTAATTACTGTTTATAAATTTTATATTTTCAGCAGTTATAATTTCACTAATCTACTAAATAGTTTCATGATCTGCCCCTTCTTTGTATGATTCACGTTTGATGAATTTTAATTTTGTCAGTTATTTTATAAATCCAGCAGTTGTATAATTGGATGTGCGTAATTGTAAATCAATTATTAATATAAATGATTATACTGTAATGGGATTCTGGCATTCTGCAATGGGATTATTATTAATTATTTCAAGTCAATTATTATTATCTACATGTTATGTCACTAATCACTACAAATAAAAGACTCCGTTTTCCATACGAAGCTTAAAGACAACTGCACGTGCCTCATATCTAATCATAGTAAAACCTGGAAAAATAATTTTACACAATTGATTCCAGGCTGATCACGGCAGCAAGGTTTGTTTTTGCATAGTCGCATAATGCAAAACCTCGTCCCATTAGTAAACTGCTTTACACTAAGCTACTCAAACTCGTAAAAACTTTTTACTACGGCTACATCAATTAGTATCCAATATGGTAGCCATTGTTGTATATTAATCAACTTTTGCAGATATTTTGCAAATTGTCCACATCTATGAGAATATATGCTCTTAAAAGTTAAATCCCTCCTTACTTTTTTTGAGTACGCTTAACATTTAAAAGTAAATTCTAATTGCATGATTCAATCATTTCACCTAATAAATTAGGGCAAAAAGAAGCGACGCATTATTTTTTAAGTGAATTATGTACATATATCCGCATCCTTTTTTCTCTCAGTTACTAAAAATATCTTCAATCAGCTTAAATACTTCGGCAATGCTTTTAAGGGGTTGGACAATGTCAAACTTACACATCTTAGCTAGTCTCACAATTTCTATTTATTTTTTTTCCCAATTTCCTTGGCTCAGGAAAAAATTTTAAAAATGTTCAGTTCATCCTCCTCGTTTTCGTCCACTTCTTCTGTCTACATTGAAGCCCTATTCTGTTTTCAAAAACAGAGCTGTGGAATGATCAACACTAAAACCCATTCTCTCAATGAACAGAGGGAAAGGAGGAGGTACGCCTTGATATAAGGCTCAAGGTTCACTCAAACTCTCTCAGACTTCCTCCCGCATATTCAGTTTGATCAGTTCAGCAATTTAATATGTCATCCAAACAAAATTCTGACATTATCGATTTCCTACATACAATGTTAATTACCCCTATTGTACAAGTTATCAGATAATAGTAATGACTAATATTATACACCTTCAAGTTCACAACTAAATACTTAAAACCTAATAGGAAATGTAACCACGCCAATGCCCAAAAAATCGCATGATGTAGTACCAATAGTTTCAGAAGATGACTCCCCATTTTGAAGGCGAGAACGAACCTGGGCCTGGACCACGTGCGGGCTCTGGTCCCTTGATGGCCCGCTGTCCATCGACATGTTATCCGAATTGCTCCCACTATCTGCATTTTCCACCAATAACTTCTCCTCCATCTTCCCAGACCCCAAACTCAAACCCCCATCAACGCCAGCACCAGTGTCGCCGCTACCACCAAGTGGCTTCGACAACTTACTAGAACCCAACGAAGCCCCCTTATCCCTACTCCCGAAACTGAAGAAACTCTCCTGTGGCAACGGCCCCGATCGGGTCTTTATCTTGTTTAAACCCAAAGACGATGCCACTAGTGGAGAAACCGACACCGGCGTAGGACTTGCTGCCGCCTCCTCGGATTTCTTCAACTTGGAAGAAGAAGAAGAAGAAGAAGAACCAAATATTCCGGAACTGGGCCTACTTAAATTTTGAGTTTCTCTGTATTTTGAATCTTTTTTTTCGTTTTTACTGCTGGTGGTGGGTGTGGAAGTAGGAGTGGTAGCTACAGGGGATTTATCTTTGAACGATGATTTAGGTTTCTTTTTATCGGATCCAATCGGGGAACTGGAATTTGAACCGGTAGATCGAGGACTGTTGGAGGATCCATCGCGGCTTGAAGTGTCAGATTTTTTGGAAGAGAAAAATCTCCCCTTAAACACCATCTTTATCCTTCTTCTTTTTTCCTCTTAATATTTTCTTGATTTTGAACTACATCACAGCCCTGCCATGGAAAAATTCAAGGCTAATGGTTGAAGCTGTACCAATAGCATTACTCTCACTCTCTCTTTATATGTTGGTTTTTTGTGACAGTGGTGCTGCCGTGCTGAGTTGAACAATTTGGACAATGGATAGAAATGGATGAGAAAGGAAAACAACGTGACTCTGGTGGGAAGATGATGTGATTGCAATTTTGGGCCCTGGCCAAGCAGCCTTTTCCAATTTAAAGTGTTCACTTATAAGTAAGTTAGCATCATATAATTTTTTTATATACATAATTTTCTATTTTATTAAAAGTAAAAAATAATTAAGTTGTTTCAAAGTTAAAAATTTTATCTCAAAAGTAATTATTTAATAAAAGAATTAAAAAATAAATTATTCAAAAGTTTTAGAGTATACAGGGCGTGTTCGGTAGAAATTAAAATCGGATTAAAATTGAAAAATTAGTTGTTATTGATGACTTTTATTAAACGAGTGAGACTCAATAACGACTATATTTTCAATTTTAATTTGATTTTAATCTTAGCCAAACATGCTTACAATCTCTCAAAATATTTTTTTCCTAATTTTTAACCAGTACGAAGAAAAATTAATAAATTTTTAAGCAATATATGTCAGTTGTGCTCTTCGTGCTTTGCATTCACGAGTACAGTTACAGTTCTCAATATATAGAATTCCCCTGCTCCACAATAAATAATATTAACATTTTTTTCAACAAATTCTAGAAATTTCATATTAACTCCCGTCAAATAATCTTGTTGAAATGTTATGGTTCAACCCCATGTCTGGTTTTATTGCGAGCTTCTCCAACCATCGACGTAAATTTCATCACACGTCCTGCATTAATGCCAAAATAATGTCCGTGTACGAGCTTGTGAAACACTTGTTGAAAAATTCGAAATTGGTTGTGTCCAATTTAAGTGATTGTTCAAGTGGAATTTTTTGTTTGGTGAATGAGAAATTAAGCCAAACTTAAAATGTTTAAAATTGTTGGAAATTGTATAGAATATTGTGAAATATTCTAAAGAATGAGTAGATGAAAAGATGAGTCTTTTCATATGGATCATGACTCTTGGTATTAATTTTCAAAAACTGTCTCTTTATGTACAGATGTAATTGTGCCTCTTTATGGAGAGATTTAAATTCCAAGAGATGTGTCTCTTGGTATGGATGTTCTAACTACTACATATATAGATCTCCATATGTTTAGATTAACAACAAGAAAGACGAACAATTCAATTGATAGTTTCATATCATTCCATTACATGTTTTACTTTAGTTTTGTATAAACCATTTTGTAGAAGTAATTATTTTTTACATCAAAAATCATGGTTATGGTAGAAAGAGAACTCCGCTCGAGTTCGTTGGTCTAAGTCATTTGGAGTGCTCCTATGACTTGGCATGACCGTTAGCACCGATGCGGGGTAAATTCATCTTAAGGACAAAGTGTCAAACACTTGCCTCCACCGATCGCATCACTTGCATCTCATCTTTATTTTTCGATTTCATTCTAATTTAGTATTTTGATTTCGGAAAGTAACTAATATTCTTTTGATTTCATGCAAGATTTGAAATAAAGAATGAAACGTGTTCAAGATTGGAAAGTGGTGAATCCATATTCATATATTGGAAGTCGGTAATCACTATTTTGTCTTCTCAAATCAGATTTCGTTAAATCAAATGATATTTCGATTTCACTGTATGTTCTTAATTAATATAATATTCACATTATCGGTATAATATCTCCTACAACACTAACAATAACACATCTATAGTGTCATTGTCTCTCTTCGAGAGAGAAAAAAATGTGAATGTATTTGACCTTTTCAAGTTTACTCCATATTTTTGATGATTTTGTTTGATACGTCAATATTGTTTACACTTTCTACAAACTATTTTTTTATCCCGTTATCATTGCTTCCACACTCATTACAACAACAATTTAAGTGATGATAATGTGACATTAAATGATATGTGAAATTAAATAGATCATTTAATTTCACCTTTTAATTAGTCTATCATCTAGCATCACATGGATTAAAATTACAACACTAAGTGAGACTATGTAGAATTATTCATCAAGGGTAATTAGCACATAACGTCTATGCTTTTCATTTTTTGTCATTTTCACTCTTATTTCCACATTTCATTGAGCAAAAAATCATATTAACTTATTATCTCAATTAAAAATTATGAAATGACAACTATACCCCTCTATTTAAATAAAACAAAGAAAAGAAAAACTAATTGCAATCACATACCCAATTTTTTTTAAAGTGCAAATAAGTTACAAATAAATTATTAAAATGGTGATTAGTACATAATATCTCTATCTTTCATTGTTATTGTAAAAAATTGTTTATACCTTTCATTTTTTTTTTTTTTTATTTTTTTGTCATTTTCATCTTTAATTACACATTTGATTACGTAAACCGCCATTTATATTCATTTTCATCTAATTTTTCAATAAAAAGTTGTGAAATAACGAATATAACATCATACTTAAATAAAAAGCTAAAGTATTAATTGCAATCATAATCCTAATTTTTTTAAAAAGTGCAAACAAGCCCCCAATAAATTATTTAAAAATTTTAATTTTTTAAAGAAGTGCAAACGAGTTCCAATTAAATTTATTTAAAAATTAAAAGAAATAAAAAATGTAAATGAGTCTCAAATAAATTATTAAAGAATTAAATATTAAAAATAAAAAATTTTAATGGGTAACTGGCGTAAAACGTCCCTACCTTTGAAGGTTTTTGTGGAAAACGCATTTATCTTTCGTTCTTCGACGCATAACGTCCATATCCTTCACATTCTTTGTGCTGAACGTCATTTTCAACCATTTTAACATAAAATGACTAATATACCCTCCTATATAAATAAAACAAAATAGAAAAGAAAAAAAAATAAAGAATAAATTGCAATTTGCTTTTAAACTTTTTTAAAAATGCAAATTAGTCCAAAACTCATGAAAATATTAAAAATAACAAAAACACACACTCTCTTTTCCTCCATCTCCCTCAACCATCTCCACCGCATGATGACCACATCTATTCTTCTCCACCACTACAACTTCCGGACATTGGTACCAACACAATCTCCTCAACACACTCTACAATTCCATCCAAGAATTCCCCATATTATCCAATAATTCAACAGAAATCAGCAAGCAAAATCAACTACTCTAAAAATGGACAAATTGTTGGAAGTCGCACCTCCGCCCAGCAACAGGATCGCTGACCACCACCATCCGGTTGCCCACACCCAGACGATCTCAGCCATGTGGGCAATTATCCAAAACACTTATACATAGGTTCAATTTGAAATTGAAAATAACGCAGCTGCGACTATCGCGCCGCGTGCTGAACTTGGCTGATTCCGGCGTCGTCCCTTTGACCCATGGTCAGGAACCACTCCATTCAGCACCCTCTCATCATGGCGAAGCTATTCTACCTTCAAGTCAAAATTCAATTACAATTCTTTGAACATAGTATTTCTCTCCCGAATTGAATGGCTTCAGGTCGAAATTGACCTAGACACATGGTTAGGCTAGGTGTGCCTGG